CGGGTAGGTGCCAGAAAATAAAGAGGGGGAAAAGAAAGGAACGTACGAAGCCGGTCATGCGAGGCCAAGGGCCATGGTCGAAGGCGTGACGTGCAGCTTTAACAGCCAAGTCAACGTCTTCTTTATCACCTGCTGCTATGTTCGCGATCACTTCTCCATTCCTTGGGTCTATTGTCTCAAACGTCTCACCTTTAATATTAACCACAATATTAAACCAAAACTTCCTTATCAGTATATGCCAAATCAAACCAACCTCCAGGTTTAATATTCAAAATCACGATTTGTTTACTCTTTTCTTTCGTCGATAAGGACAAAACATTAGCTATATTATCATGACTTTTTTGAAAAAAGGAAAAAAAAGAAACAATAGAGAAAATAATTAATTTTGTTGTTGAGTAGAGAAATTGTCAGGGTGGACCAAACGAGAGCACTTGTGTTTAGCGGTAGAACATGTGTTCCACTCAGGACGTACAGCTTTTGATATTAAAAATAAGTTGTAAAGAAAATCTTGACAATTTTTATTTTATTTTCCGACCACTCAATTACTCATGCAACTGTTCGTTAGCTGACTGGTTTTTGCCCTGTTGAAAAGGTTTGTCCTTTTGGTCTAGACCAGAAAGGAATCTTCTCAGAAATTTCACTCAGTGACCATTGTAAACGTTTTAAGTGTCAAGAAAATTCGGATTTTTATAGTTTGGAGAACTAGAATGAGTGTTTCGGTTCAAATTCATATCGATTATTATAAATAAATAAATAAAACAGAATCATGCATCGAACCATTCGCAATCTTTGGTTATCCGATATCAAAGATTTGTGATAGAAAAGGATTTGAAGGTACTGATTTGGATAATCAAAGCCAAAATCAGAAAAGTCAACGGTTGAAGCTGTGAAATAAAAGTAGTTAAGAGTGAACACAAGGAAATACCTGAAGCAGCATCGAGGAACTGGCCGTTGATGAAAAGCTTGGTGAACTTTATCTCCGGTAGCTTCACCGTCGCGCCTCCGTTGGATTTGCCGT